TGGGATCTGGTCCACGCCTCTATAATTCCATGATTCCATGATTCTATGATTCTATAATTCCATGATTCTATAATTCTATGATTTTATGACTCTATGATTCTATAATTCCATGATTCTGTGATTCCATGATTCTATAATTCTATAATTCCATGCTCCTATAATTCTATGATTTTATGATTCTATGATTCTATAATTCCATGATTCTGTGATTCCATGATTCCATGATTCTATGATTCCATGATTCTATAATTCTATGATTTTATGACTCTATGATTCTATAATTCCATGATTCTGTGATTTTATGATTCCATGATTCTATAACCTCATGATTCTAAGATTCCGTAATTCCATAATTCCATGACTCCATGATTCCATGATTCTATAATTCCATGATCTATGATTCCATGATTCCCTGATTCTACTACTCTGTGATTCCACGATTCTATAACTCCATGATTCTATAATTCCATGATCCAGCGATTCCCTAATTCCACGATTCCCTGATTCCGCGATTCCCTGATTCCCTAATTCCCTGATTCCCCGCAGCACGACACGTGTCCCGTCTGCAGGAAGAGCCTCAAGGGGGAAGATTCCACCCGGCAAACTCCGAATCCCGACGCTTCCGACAGCCCCCTGCAGGAGCGATGGACTTTCTGACCCTTTCCCGGAATGTTCCGGAGCGTTCCAGAGGCTTCCGGAGGCCGGAGCGGCCCCTGCTCCGGGTGTACATTGAGAATTCCAACAAACCCCCCCTCCAAGTAGCGGGAATTCGGGGGGTCCATCCCCACGGGATCGCGGCACCGAGCGCCCTCCTCCCGGGAATTTCTCCTCCTGGGAATTTCTCCTCCCGGGAATTTCTCCTCCCGCTCCGTGGAACCACCTCGTTCCTCCTAAATTGGGAATTCTGGGCAGTGATTTGATTGGATTTGGATGGAGAGGGGTGGGGGTTTTTTTTTTCCAGTGGGGGCTCCGAGTCCCCTCACGGCCTCCTCTGGAAAAAGGGATTTTGGGGGGGATCTCCCCATGCTCCGGGAAGCTGGAATTGTCTGGAATTGTCTGGAATTGTGGGGCAGGAGGGATTTTATTGCCCCGTTTCGGGTGGAATCCTCGGGGTCTATAAAATCAGGGGGATTTGGAGGCAGGAGGGGTCTGGAGCCCTTCCCGAAAGGGGGATTGGACCCTCAGGAATCTGGGAATGCTCTGGGATCAGGAATGCTCCGAGCAGGATTTTGGCAGCTCCAGGATCCTGGACTTTTTTTTTTTTTTTTTTTGGGGGGAGTGAGGGTTGTTTTGGGGTTTTTCCAACCCTTTTCCACGTGCCTGTGGCCCCAGGTGTGTCCAAGCCTCACCCCCCCCTCGCCATTCCAGACAGGAATTATGGACCACGTTGCTCATCCCTTGGGAATTCCCCCCCCCCCCCCCTTCCCCAGTAACTTAAGGAAAATCTTTATTTTTGCCGATTCTTTGGTTGTTTTGAGGGAGTTTTTTCCCCTCATTTCTGTGAAGTTTCATTCAGGTCTTAATCCTTGGAATTATCCTGGGACTCCTGGGATCCACTGACCCCCCCCCTGGAGGGGGGTGGGACATTCCCAAACCTCTTGGGGTTGGTGGCTCCATGTCCACGTGGATTGAATTCCCTGTTTTCTTTGCTCTTCCGTCCAATAAAGGCCTTTCTCAAGGAATTCCCGTTCCCAAGGGATCCTTGGGGCTGGGAAAGGGGGGGGTAGGAGCTGGGAAAGGGGGGGAGGAACTTGGGAAAGGCTTTTTGGGGAAGGAAACCCCTGATCTGGGGAATGATCCTGCAGGATTTGGGAATGGTGTCCCTGTTCCCTCTTCCCTGCTCTGCCGGGAGCTGTTCCTGGAGCCAGGACAGGGCTGTGGATCCGCAGGGATTGGGAAAATCCAGGCAGATCCTGGGTTTATCCCGGTGCTTTTCCCTGTTATCCAGCATGTCCAGCTCTCCTGATGGGAATTTTGGGGGGGGTGGAGGGGGTCACATCCCCTCCCTTCCTGCTCCCACTTCCTCCCTCTCCCACATCGAGCCAGAAATCAGGAATTCCTTCCCCATGGAGCTGGATTTAATCTGGATTTTGGGCTTTAAATCTGAGGCCGGCGTGGGCTGGGATTTGGGATTTGAATCCCCCCCTGTCCCTCCATGTATTTGGGGTCATTCCAGAGGTTTTTCCCCACATTGGGAAGTGTTCCCATGCACACACAGGGATGTGGGATCCAGTGGGAGCACGGCCCGGAGTTTTATTGCTGGAGCTGCTCCGTCCATCCCGACTCATTCCCGGCTTTTTTCCCACTTCCATGTGTGTGTGTCTCCCTCCCAAATCCTGGGTGGTGGTGGGAGGGGGTGGCTCCGGCCTCACCTGCTCATCCATCCCCCCGCCAGCCCAATCCCACCCCCCCCCCACCGGGATGGAGCCGAGGGGGGGGGCGGCAGAATCCCGGGATGAACCCTGGACATCCTGGGAATGTCCTCAAGGATCGGGAAGGGCTTCAGTGCTGCTGCTGCTGCTCCTCTTCCTCCTCCTCTTCCTGGGGCGGCTTCGGGCGGGAGAAGAATCCCAGCTGGGGGGGGGAGGATGGATTGGGGGGTGGGAAGAACCCCCTCGAGGGGGGGCATTGAACCCCCCAAAGGTGACACTGTGACCCCCCAAAGGTGACACTGTGACCCCCCAGAGGTGACAGTGACCCCCCAAAGGTGACACTGTGACCCCCCAGAGGTGACACTGTGACCCCCCAAAGGTGACACTGTGACCCCCCGGAGGTGACACTGTGACCCCCCAAAAATGACAATGACCCCCCCCCTCACCCTCCAGAGGCCGAGGCTGAGCAGCGCCAGCAGCAGGAGCCCCCCCAGGGCGCTGCCCCCCAGGATCCACAGGGACACGGGCACTCGCCGGCCCTGGAGCACCTCCAGCACCAGCTGCGGGAAAACAGGGATTGGAGGAGGGAGGAAAAAAAAACAGGATTTGTGGGGGGGCGGGAAAAAAACAGGGAATTTTTTTTTGGGGGGGGGAGTCGCTCCTACCTCCCTGCGCTGCGCCCCCTCGCCCAGCACCAACACACCCCCCTGCACCCCCAGCCAGGCACTGCCCACGATCCGCACGCTCCGGAATTTGGCCTGGAGGCGAGAAAAAGGTGGGATTTGTCCCCCAATCCCTCCCTCTGGATCCTCCCTGGAGTGGGAGGGAAGGGTGGGGGTCCCCAATCCCCCCCCCCCCCGGGGCTCACCCCGCTGAAGAAGCCGCTGTGGAGGGTGCGGAGGAGCCGGACCGAGACCCCCCCGCCGCGCTCCAGCCCCCCCAGGGCGCAGCTCAGCTCCTCGCACCACGTGTTGGAACAGTCCTGGGGGGGCAAAGAATTAGGGGGGAGCCGAAAAAAAATTCCCAGAATAAATTTGGGAACCCGCCCCCCCCAATAAAAAAAACCTCCCCGGCGATGCCCACCAGCCTGTCCACGCGCAGCAGGTCTTCGGGGGGCACCGGGACCACCCGTGTCCCCTCGGGGGGGGGGTCGCAGCGTGCAGGTGGCCTGGGAGGGGAGAGGGGAGGGTCAGAGGCAGGGGGGAGAGTCACAGGGAGAGGGTCAGAGGGAGAAGGGAGGGTCAGAGGGAGAGGGGAAGGAGGGAGAGGGGAGAGGGAGAGGGAGAGGGAGAGGGAGAGGGAGAGGGAGAGGGGAGGATCACAGGGAGAAGGGAGGGTTCCAGGGAGAGGGGAGGGTCACAGGGAAGGGTCAGAGGGAGAGGGGAGGGTCAGAGGGAGAGGGAAGGGTCACAGGGAGAGAGGAGGGAAGGAGATGGAAGGGTCAGAGGGAGAAGGGAGAGTCAGAGGGAGAGGGGAAGGAGGGAGAGGTGAGAGGGAGGGTCACAGGGAAGGGTCAGAAGGAGAGGGGAGGGTCAGAGGGAGAGGGAAGGGTCACAGGGAGAGAGGAGGGAAGGAGAAGGAAGGGTCAGAGGGAGAAGAGAGGGTCAGAGGGAGAGGGGAGGAAGGGAGAGGGAAGGGTCAGAGAGAGAGGGAAGGGTCAGAGAGAGAGGGAAGGGTCAGAGGGAGAGGGGAGAGAGAGAGGGAGAAGGGAGGGTCACAGGGAGAGGGGAGGGTCACAGGGAGGGTGCAGGGACCCCCCCCGGGCCCCCCCAGGCTCACGTTGTCCCCGGGCAGCACGCGGGTGACCGACAGGAGGGTGGCCCGGCCGTGTCCCAGCGCCGGCAGCGCCACGTGCAGGGTGAGGTTGTGCGCGGGGTAACACCCCAAATTCTGCACCTGGATGGGGGGGGTCACCATGAGACAGGACACCCCCCCCCCATTTGGGGACCCCCCCGGGACCCCCCCGCACCTCACCCTGACCGTGGTGCTGAACTCGGGGCCGGGGCCGTGGGGTTGAACCTCGTAGCGCTGCAGGTTGGTGTCACTGTCACCAGAGAGGGGACACGGGGTGGGGTTGGGGGGGTCACATGGGTGAGTGTGTCCCTCTGTGACCCCCCCCGGGACCTCCCAGCCCCACCTGGACAGGAACAGGTCGGGCTCGTAGAGGATGGGGACAGAAATCCGGGCCAGGTTGTCCTCGGGAGTGGCCTCGGTGCTGTCGCTGGGGTGGGGAGGGTCAGGGTTAAAAAAATACAAAAAAAAAGGTTAAAAAATATAAAAGGGGTTTTAAAAAAAAAAAAAGATAACAAAAAAAAGGTTAAGAAATATAAAAGGGGTTAAAAAAAAAAGACAACAAAAAAAAGGTTAAAAAATATAAAAGACGTTAAAAAAAATAACAAAAATAAAGAAGGTTAAAAAAATATGAGAGGTTAAAAAAAGGGTTAAAAAATATAAAAGAGGTTAATAAAAAT